AGAAATTAGAAAATAAACATGAATAAAAACGGAAACAAAATGTATTAAAGCAACAGGATGCAACAAATCAGTGCCAAGGGAGGACCTATAGCTATAAACACAGCTCTCAGTCCCATACAAGGTGACTGGGATCAGAACAGCAAGCTACACCCAAAGCTGGCAGAAGAAATAATGAACGTTAGAGCAGAGATAAGTGAAACAGAGAACAGGAAAACAACAGTTGAGAAAATCAATGAAAACTAAAGTTAGGCCTTTGAAAAGACTAACAAAATTGACAAATCTTTACGTAAGGAAAAGGGGGAGAAAATTCAAATTACTAAAGTCAGACATGGAAGTGGGGATGTTACTTCTACAAAAACAAAAAGGACTATAATACACACTGTAATAACTATACACTAACAACGTGGGTGACCTGGATAGAATGGAGCTAGAAACCCAAAACCTATCAAGACGAAGTCACGAAGAAATAGAAAACTAAACAGAGCTTACAGCCAGTAGAAGACTGAATCAGTAATTTTAAAAAATCTCAGGCTGGGCACAGTGGCTCACGCCTGTAATCCCAGCACTCTGGGAGGTTGAGGCGGGCAGATTGCCTGAGTTCACAACTTCAAAACCACCCTGAGCCAGAGTGAGACCCCAACTCTAAAAATAGCTGGTGTGGTGGTAGGGGGCCTATAGCCCAGCTGCTCAGGAGGCTGAGGCAAGAGAATCACTTAAGTCCAAGAGTTTGAGGTTGCTGTGAGCTATGACAGCATGGCACTCTAACCAAGGCAACAAAATGAGACTGTGTTTCAAAAAAAAAAAAAAATTGAAGAGGGGAGAATATGCTCTAACTTATTTCATGAAGTAGGATTAACTTGACACCAAAGCCAGACAACGTCATCTGGAAACAAAACAAAACTGTAGATGGGTATCCTTATGAACACTGATTCAAAAATTCTCAACGAAGTGTAAGTAAATCAAATTCAGCAGCAAACTAAAAAGATTATACACCAGGGTGGCGCCTGTGGCTCAGTGGGTAGGGTGCCAGCCCCATATACTGAGGGGGGCGGGTTCAAACCCAGCCCCGGCCAAACTGCAACAAAAAAATAGCCAGTTGTTGTGGTGGGCACCTGTAGTCCCATATACTCAGGAGGCTGAGGCAAGAGAATCGCCTAAGCCCAGGAATTGGAGGTTGATGTGAGCTGAGACACTACCACACTCTACCGAGGGCGACAAAGTAAGACTCTGTCTCTAAAAAAAAAAAAAAAGAAAAGAAAAAAGAAAACAGAAGGCAATGCTTCACAACATTTAATTTGGCAAAGATTTCTTAGGCAATGCTCCAAAGAAGTGGGAAATAAAAGAAAAACCAGGTAAAGTAGATATCATGAAACTTTCAAAAACATTTGCATCAAAAGGTACTGCAATAGAGCAGCCCACACAATGGAAGAAAATACTTGCAAATCATATATCTAATAAGAGATTAATATCCAGAATGCAAGGAGAACTAAAATTTGACAACTGAACACCTTGATTCAAACTTTGGAAAAGGATTTGAATAGCTGTTTCCCCA